GCTATTAATATGTACAATGCGGAAATCTGGGGCTGCTCTAGGTCAAATTTTGGGGGACAAATCCAGCCTGGGGCTAACTGGGCTGATCCCAAGGAGCCTGGAGGAACTTGGCTGGGTTTCCCAAGGGAAATCACCTTCTTGGCTCTCTTTTTTCCATATCAGAGGAGACAACAGATAATCCACAGGCCACCAGCAACAGGCTGCCATGTGCTCCCCATGCCCCATCTGTGCCCCAAAGCTGGCTGCTTTGCTCTTGTTGGTCACACATGTGGCCTTCAGAGTCCTGATTCTTCCCGTTTTGTCTCTCTTCTGCCCAGCTGTGTCCCATGATGACCTCCCGCAAGATGTTTTATGGGTCCTCCTCCACCATGGCTCCACCATCCAAGAACAGGCTGAAACGCCAGAGCCGGATTTTCTCCCAGGTCTTGTACCGGACGCTGAGCTATAAGGACCGGAGCTCGGCATCCTCCTTCTCCGCAGCTAACGGAGATGATCCAGCTGAGCTCTCCACCCAACTTTCCGCCCCGGGCGTCCTGAAGATCTTTGGAGGCAACATCTGTGCGGGTACCAACTACAAGAGCGTGTTGGCAACGGGCAGCTCGGGTGCGCGGGAGCTGGTCAAGGAGGCCTTGGAGCGCTACGGGCTGAGCCAGGCCGATGCGGGCCAGTTCGTGCTGTGCGACGTCGTGGGGCGCTTCGAGGGCGCCGAGAAGCGCTGGCAAACCGAAGGGCTGCGGGTGCTCGGCGACTCCGAGAAGCCGCTGCTCATCCAGGACCTGTGGAAGCCCAGGGAGGGCTTTTCCCGGCGCCTGGAGCTGCGCAGGAAGGTGGAGGTGGAGGAGCTGGCGTCCCGGGACGTGGACACCACGACCGCAGGTCAGAGCCAGGCGCAAGCGCTCGCGGGGGCCGGGAGAGGGTCAGGGAGCAGCTCCGGCCGCGGTGCTGGAGCAGAGCCCGGGAGCGGGTCGTGCACCAGGATGGCCGCAGCCCCGGCCATCAGCGCCCTCCTTTACGGATCAGCCAAGCTCGGCCGCTCGCTCCCGGCGGGAATGTGGCAGCTGCCGCAGGGACCCGCGGGCGCTTTGGCAGGAAGATGCTCGGGATGCGCCTGCTGCTCCTGGGGGCTGCACAGCTGTTGGGGCTGCAAGGAGACAACTGGCTGGGCACAAAGGCGATTTGGGGTCTGGGCACGATGGGCCCAGCTCCTGCAAAGAAGCACAGGGAGAAGATCCCAGCTAGAGCAGCGTGGAGGGGAAGAGCCTGTTTGTTGGTGGGCAGGACGTCACGGGGACAGCACCGATGGGAAATGGGCTCATCTCATCAGTTTTAAAAGCCTGTTTCCCATCCTATTTTAAAGCAGGAGGGAGTCTAGAAATGCAGCACAAGGGCAATCCAGTGTGACAAGCAACCGTATGGGTTTCCAGGGAGAGCATCCAGCTCCTGTGGTCCTAGGCTCCAAGCACAGGACCTGCCTCCCAGGCATAGGCAGCTGCTGGTTTCTTCAAAGTATCAGGAGAAACTTTTCATTTTAGCAATCAAAGAAATCTTGGTGCATTTTCTCCCCCCCCCTAAAAGCAAAGGGTGCTGTGAGACCCTATGTCCTAAGGCAAGAGATGGGGCTGCACCTCCCTGGAATGTTCTTTCATCCCAGCAACTGCATGTTGTGCCCCAAAAATCAGGTTTGGGATTTCAGGAGTAGCTTGAGAGCCTATCCAGCTCCTCAAAGTCATTCCCACCCCATGGCACGCAGCACAGGCAGAGCTGCTCCTGCCACGTGCCTGGCACCAGGTTTGGGCCATGGGATGGGGTGAGGAGGATGTAGAGGTCAGCATCTGCTTTTAGCTCCTTCTTTTTTTCCCCCCAGTAGGGAATCAAAGAGAAGTTAAAAGCCTTGGAATAGCTGCAGGCTGGAG